GTGCCAGCCCCACCACCTCTGATCCACGTGCTCAGGCAAGGTGCCCACACTGTGCTGCCCACAGCACAACCCAGGGGTTGCACAGAGGCAGGGCACTGCCAGAGCCTGCCCACAGATTCACACCATGCCATACCCATGCAGTTATTTCCTCCGTTGACTTGCATGTACTCAGGGGGGCACACGCAGGTGTAGTTGCCAAGGGTGTTGTAGCAGGTCCCAGGGCCACAGATCCCAATGTGAGCAGAGCACTCATCAATATCTGCAAAGAAAAGGAGATTGGAGGTCAAAGCACTGGGCAGAGGGAGAGAAGGGCCTGATGTGGGAGTGGTGGTAGGTTTGGCACAAGGTTTGGATGGGCCCAATATAGGGACAGGGTTTGTGATAAGGATGGGAAGTCTGGAAGAGAAAGGGGAGGTCATTCTGCCAACCATTCCTATGGCAGCCCAGATACACACACAGGTCTGTTGCACACACAGGCACACAGCCAAGCACAGGCACCACACCACAGCTACCTTCACAGATGCGCGTGTCCTCATTGAGGTAGTAGCCGAGGGGGCACTCGCACTGGAAGCTGCCAAAGGTGTTCACACAGTTGCCACCCTGGCAGAGGCCCGGCAGCTCCTGGCACTCATCGATATCTGAGGAGGGAGAACAGGCAGGAGATGGTCATTGCTTGTCAGAGCAGCACAGGCAGTGCCTTCACCCCAGCATCCACAGCGGGTTCATCCCACCACCTCCAGCTGGTGCCCACGAGTCTGGAGCACATCCGAGGAGAGCACACACTTGCTGTTTGTCATTTGGTGGACAGGGGCTCAGCGTGCACCCAGCCAGCCCAGTGCCACAGCACAGAGTGCCCACACAAGGCTGGGTGCGCTCCCCCAGCACCCAAGCCCCTGGTGAGGGGCATGGGGTCTATGTGAGCTTACCTTCCAGGATGACAGTGATGGGGTTGGGCCGGAAACCTTCTCCTCCAGGGCACAAGGTCTTGTATTCAGCTGCAGAAAAAGTCAGTCAGGGGGGTCCTGGGCTTGGTGGGCTCCCATGAAACAAGGAGGGGAGGGAGAACCAGGAGAAACCCAGGAGAAATAGGCCATGAGGATGGTGACAGTGGTCCAGATGGAGCAGCCTGACTCCCATTGCATGCCAAGCCAACATAGTCATCCTATCTCTACCTCTGAACGGGGTTATTCCACATCCACTGCCCTCTCCCAGTCCACTGGACTGGAAAGAGGGATCCCAACCTGCATTCTTCAGGCATGACCAGCCTGGTATCCCCCCACACCTCACCACTCCCACACACTAACACAACAGGGTTGCTGCCTTCTCCCTCAGCTCCCCTTGCTCCATCATGATGATGATAGCATATCCTGGACCCAGGACCCCCAGCCTGAGTTGAAAAGCCATAGGGATGTGGCCCCATCTCTCTTCTCAGCTCTGTGCTGCCCATCCAGCCCATGTCCAAGGTCACCTCAGGTATGTTCCCAACTCACTCGTGTTGGCTGGAGGACAAAGCTCACATGGGTTGCCCCATGCACGCCCCAGCGAGCAGCAGCAGGATGCCCGGGTGACCCCAACTCCAATCTCTGCGCTGCAGGAGATCCCACCATCGCCTCGATCCTGGGTGTCAAGGAAGCAATTCCCAACACGGGTATCTGCACAAAGACAGCAGTGGGTGAGCAAATCCCCTCCGGGAAAGACTTGTGTGCACAGGAGGAAAGAATGGCATTATGGCATCAAGAAGCAGGGAAGAGGGATAAGACCCCAGTTCTGTCCCAGATGCCCACACTGTCAGCTACCTATGTTGTGGTAAACCACAGCCAAACTGTCCTTGCAGCTCATGACTTTGAGAACCCTTCAAGAATAAAGTGTGTCCAGCTTGTGTGGTAAAAGCCACACTCTATCATACAGGGGTCACAGCTTGGTGGGCTGCCATCAGTATGGCTGCAGAACATGACCCAAATAATGTCCCCAGTAACCCAGGGCCTTTCAAGAAACAAACACTGAAGAATAGCTCCAGAGCTGCCCAGGAATATCATTACTTCAACCAGCAGAGCACCCACACTGGTGACACAAGGTGGGCCAGGCTTAACAGGAGGTAGATACTCCTCCAGCACAGCCAGGTATTTGGCAGGACAGAGAGTGGTCAGCCACCCCAGCCTCTGGCAGTGACCAGTTTCAGCTATGTGGGACCAACAAGAAGGACTGCCAAGGTCTCAGATGGAAGGTGTCCTCTCCACTCACCCACACAGCCCACACCAGTGGGGTTCAGCTCGAAGTCCTGTGGACAGTTGCAGAGGTAGCTGCCAGGGGTGTTGACACACAGGCCGTTGATGCAGTTCACAGGGTCTGCACATTCATTGATGTCTGCAAGGATGGAAAGATGAAGACTGAAAAATAAATAGATGAAGAAACCACAGAAACCACAGCCCTAAGCTCTGCACTGTACGTACTAAGCTCTGCACTGTATCCCCACAACCACAATGTTTCTATGGCCTTCTAGAAACAGATCTTGCTTTGTCTTACCTCACACCACCCTGCCCAGAGTCAGAAGAAAGGAGCAGAGCCACAGCTTTCCCTCGTATCCACTGAAGGCCCAGCTCCCACCAGCATTGCCAAGAGCAAAGGCACATCACCACATCACACAGGGATGCTTAAATGGCTTTAGGCTGCTAGTGCCACTCCCAGTGTCGTGGCTGGGGCAAGGTCACACCAGCAGATCCCAGAGCAGTGACCCTCATCCAGGAGCCCTGTGCAAGCCCTGTACCTGTGCAGTTGCCTCCACTCCTGTCCAGTTCATAGCCTTCATCACAGGCACAGCGGAACATCCCAGGCAGGTTCTGGCAGGTCCCAAAGACACAGATGTTCTGGAAGGTGCATTCATCAATGTCTGCAAAACAGGGAGAGCTGAGGATTCAGGATCTGGTGTCCCATCTCAAAGCAGAGCCACAGCCCAGCTGTGGGTAACCCAGCTCAGGTTCTAGAGCCATGGGATCCCATCTCCTGGGTGAGGAGGACTAGACACGCTGGTATGCTCTGTGTATGCCCCCTCCCTCACCCCTGTTTTCCTGATTGTCCACATCCTAATGGATCTTTGACCTCATCCAACCTTGCTTCAGGCTGGAGATCAGCTGTACTGGAAGAGTTGGCACCTCAGGAGCCTTGCACCACCAGGGGATGGTTGGTCTTGCTTAGCCATCGATCAGGTGGTGACAGGGCAGTAGAGAGACCAAGACCAGAAAGGAGGTGGACACCAGACCTCCTAGAGCAGCAGTCAGAAGTCTGGGCACTCACCCTGGCAGGCCTTGCTGTCCTCTGTGGGGTTGAAGCCCATCTCACACTCGCAGCGGTACCCCCCGGGTGCATTGAGGCACTGGCCATTCTCACACAGGTTCACGTTGTCCGCACACTCATCCACATCTAGAGAGGGTCAAGCACGAGACTGACGTGGTGTCCACCCCAAGACGGGAGCTTCCCTCAGCTTGCCCAGGAAACTCCCATGAGCTGCTTTCCACCCCTCTGCTGGGAGGCTGCAACACTCCTCATTGCCTTGATCCTCCCCAAACACATGCTGAGAAGAGGGTGGATCTCTGCTACAGGTATCTGAGCAGGCCGTGGTTCAAGGCAGGCTGCAGTGGCTTTTGGGGGACATGTGCTTTGGGGAACCCCAGACACAAGCAGCTGGGTGCTGAACCAGCTTGGTGGTTCTGAAGGGGTGACTCCATGTCCCAGCAGGGTCCCCACTGAGTCTTTGGGCCTCACCAGAGCAGGAGAAGCCATCCCCATTGAAGCCTTCTCGGCAGGCACAGCGGTAGGAGCCTGGTGTGTTGACACAGTTGGCATTCAGGTTGCACTTGTGCTCTTCAGTTGCGCATTCATCCAGGTCTGGGAAGGGAGAACACCCTTGTGAGCGCTTTGCCTCTGGCCTTCCCTCTAAGCCCAGGCAGATAGTGCAGGGGCCCAGAGGACGCTCAAATGGCCCAGGAGACCACAGCCTCCAGGAACCTGGAGCACTCATGAGGCTCCAGCACATCTCTGTGAGCCCCTATGGCCCTGAGACACTCCCATGGCAGTGCTGACACACACAGTATGGCAGTGAGACACTTCCACGCACATATCCACACTCCCAGTACCTTCCCAGTTCAGACACACATATCTTTACATCCCTTAACACACACCACACATGCCAGGAAGTCTCTGCACTCAGGTACACACACCAGCACATCCCTACACACCTCCCACATCCATAGAATCACAGAATGGTTTGGGTTGGAAGGGATCTTAAGATCATTCAGTTCCAACCCCTTGCCACGGGCAGGGACAGTTCCTCAGTTCTCCTCCAGTGCCTCATAATCCAATAACTTAAAAGATTAAATGAGCTTGTTCTGAATTTCTACCTCTGCTCACTGCATTGGTACTCAGCTCTAGCTCTCACAGTTATCAAACCACTACAAGTCCGTCCACACCATACCCCCAGCACATCACCACACAGCCACATTGCCAACCCGACAGCCATCTACACTCATCTCAATACCATGCCCACATGCTCCACATCCCACAAATACATGTCCAGCCTTCACAGGTGTCCACAGAGCACCTGGACACATGAAGCCCCTCTCCTGGGATGAGGAACTCACCGTTGCACTTCAGCCCATCTCCAAGCCAGCCTGTACGACACTTGCATTTGAAGCTCCCGGGCACGTTGATGCAGGAGGCGTGCATGTCACAGTTGTGAGCCCCAATCTCACACTCATCAATGTCTGCAGGAAGGAAGGACATCAGAGCTGACACAGCTCCGCTTCCATCGGAGAGGAGGGGGTACAATCCTGCTAATGGGCCTGGGTACCAACAGCTCCTGGGATTCTGAGCCCCAGGGGATGCTCTGGGGAAGAGGCTGCCTGGAGTTGTACCCTTGACCAGCTCAAGGCTACAACTCTCACCCTGCTCACCCCTGGAAGATGAAGACAGAAGGAAGGGCAAGCCCCTGGCTTGGCTGTCAGCTAGGAGAGTGTCCGTTCCTGCCTGCAGCCTGCCTCCCTGGCAATCTCTGCCTGCCCAGGAGGGGCTCCCAGCACACAGTCACATCTCTAGGAGTGCCCAGGAGCATCCAGTCTAGTGTGTTCCTACCTGTGCAGCCTGTGGTTCCCTTCTTGACAAAGTAGCCCAGCTGGCAGTGACAGATGAAGGAGCCCTTTGTGTTTTCACACTCGCCGTGCAGGCAGATGTTAGGGTTGAGATCACATTCATTCACGTCTGCAGGAGAAAAAGTACTTGCTTGGAACACCACAAGAACCATGACACAGCTCTGCGGTAACGCTCTGTAGCCCTTCCTCCATCCAACAACAGCCTTGTGATGCAGTGCTGACCACAGCCTTGTCCTCACCAATACAGGTCTTCATATCCAGGGATGCCATGAAGCCATCAAAGCAGAGGCAGCGGTACTCCCCAGGGATGTTAGTGCACTGCCCCCCATCACAGATGTCTGGATTATCCTCACATTCATCAATATCTAGAGAGAAGAGAACAGAGTAAAGATGTTAGAGTCAGTGAAAAGGTATTGTGGGAGCAGGAGGGAGTCACAGGAGGGACTTTGCTCCAAATCATGTAGTTACAGGACTCTGGAGCCTTTAACAAGGGGCTGGACATTGCAGTGCACAGCAAAAACATCTGTCCAGGAAAATCACCTCTCTGGAAGTGACTTAAAAATGAGACCCCTCACCCTGAAGCCAACACTAAGGCTGACTGGCCATGGATGCAGAGGTCCCTGGGACAGCACCTACAAGGGCAAAGCTGACTGCTCACCTGCACATGATCTCTTGTCTGGCATCAGCGCGTAGCCTTCACTGCAGCTGCATTCATAGCTGCCCTCCGAGTTGGAGCAGTGTGTGTCACAGCCACCATTGGTTATGGTGCACTCATCAATGTCTGGGGGAGAAGGGAGAGGTTAAGCAGCTGCCTGGGTCATGGGCCCATGTGTGCCTTGCAACAGAGCTGCTCAACCAAGGTGCCAGTAACAGAGACAAGGTGGGAGAGGTGCTGAAGAGGAAACAAAACTCCCCCAGCCAGAAGAAAGCATCTCTTGCTTTCCATACCAACCACTTGCAGCTCACACTAGTTTCATAGCTGATGACCAACCTGGCTGTAGCTCAACGAGGAGGTTCTCCCCCTTGCCTTACCCTCAGACACCCCAGCAAGCATTTTAAGAGGCATGAGACCAGGAGGCTTATGTATATATACCGGGGTCTTGGCACACCTATTTGGCAAAGAGAAGCACTCACCAACACAGCCCTGCCTGTCCAGTGTGGCCTGGAAACCCGAATCACAGGCACACTGGTAGGTACCAATGACGTTGACGCAGCGTCCATTGCGACACAGGTTGTCACTGAGGGAGCATTCGTTGATATCTGCAGTAGGAAGAACAGTGTGAGCAGCCAGCCATGCTGATATCATGATGAGCATCATTTGGTATCCTCCCTGGCTACCCCGCACCTACTACTCTCTCCAGACTGAGTGTCAGTGCCCCACTGATCAGTCTTCAGTGAACAGCAGGCAGAAAACAGACATCATAAGTGCAATGAAACCCTGGGAGCGACCTCGGTCCCTCCAGGATAAGTGTGTTCTACCCACATACAGAATTGAAAGGACAGATTCACGTGCCCATCATGAGATCCAAGTCTCCCTGTATCATTACCCTTGAACAGACTCTGTTCATAACTTCATCTCACCTATGCAAGTGTTCCCTTCAGACGTCAGCTCATGTCCAGGGGGGCAGATGCATTCGAAGCTGCCATCTGTGTTCATGCAGATCCCACCTCGGCACAGCAGTGGGTCCCGCTCACACTCATTGATATCTACAGAGAACAACATGAAATCATAGAATCACAGATTCTGAGATGTGGTGGACTGTCCCCTTCAGCTTGGTTGTCCAGATGATGGGGTGGAGCTGGTGCCGTGCACCACAGCCCCATCACCACAGAGGGACATCACAAAATCAACAGGGCAGCGAATGCAGGGCTTGGATGGATTGATGGTTGAAGTATGCACTTGGGAAATCACAGCTCTTGTCTTGATCTCAGTAGAATGGAAAGTGTAACATCAGGAGGAAAGAAGTCAGCAGCTTTGTGCAGATTAGCCAGCAAGGATTAGAAAGATAGTTCCCAGCTCACATCCACCTGTCCTAGGACATTGTCACAAGTCCTATCAGCAGAGGGAGAGTTCCTTGGAAAATGTCTACTTTCTTATAGAAGACTGGCAGAGACCTTCTTGTAACAGCCTTCAAGCAGTGCCAGAATCACACACAGGGCTAGGAAATAGGCTGTGCATGGCTGAAAAAATCACATATGGACAAAGAGATTAAATTTACTGGGAACTGGAGAAATTCCTGAAATAGATGTAACTGCTGTGAGAGGGATGTGATCCAGGCAAAGATGGAATCAGGCTGCTGGCATTACAAGTGAAAAAAGTGATAGAGAAGTTTAGGAATGCCAGAATCAAAAAAAACCCAACCCCCAAGCAAGGGAAACTACTGGAATGGTGGTGGTTGGAAACAGAAACCCACAGAAGAAGGAGATGAAGAACTGCAAGTATGAAAACTGGGAAGCCTTATTATTGATTCATGATCTGTGGCCCCTGGAGTAAGCTCTTTGTGATCTACTGTGATATTGTACAGGTCTTTGTGCTACTTGTGGTGCTTCACATGGCAAGTGCTGGATGAATCTGATCCTCTAACTTTGGAAACAGGAATCTGAGAATGAGCTTCTCTATTTTGGTCCCAGCACAGACTCAAAAGATTTTATATTCTTGCTTGTCCCTAGATTTGACTCGAGATGTTTTGCACTGACAGTAGGAGAGGGAAAAGAAGGGAAGCTTCCATGGAACTGCTCAGAGGATTCATCTGTCCACAGCTGTACTCTGAGACATGTGCATTCAGAATACAAAGCCATTGTGTGTAATATAAATGAACTGAGCGAGCTAAAACAATGCCCCTAAACCCCTTTTATTGCCAGCAGACAGGGGAGTGATGCAGATCTATTTGAAACCCATCTTCTTCTCATATGTTTGTTTTCCTTGGGATTAAGAATGGAATCTTTCACCTTACTTGAACAAAACACTCTGTTGAGATTTTCATCTCCTCTGCAGCTAAAGTAGACTGGAATATGTGTGACAGTGGAGGTGATGGGCCTCTATCAAATAGCCCCACAGGACCCATGCCTCTGATTCTCCATGGTAGGAGGCTGTTCCTAATGAATTGTAGGATGCAGGTTCAGTGCTGAGGTTGTCTCCTGCCAGAGCCTGGCAAGAATTCCTCCCTCAGGAGGCTGAAGCCAAGTTCTTTTGCCAAACACAGGCAGGAAGAAGTTAATCCTTGACCATGGGAAAAGCCACAGTTGTCACAACACACTTGGGGGTGAAATGAGTCAATCCCCTGTCACCTGGAAAAAAGGTTAAGGTGGAATGGGCATTATAAAAAACCCAAACAACCCAACCCAACCCAACGATGAAATACAACATCCTTGTGTAAAGATATCAGACATCTCATTACTGAAAGAACTTATCAGGCCATCAGTGGGGCTGTGATATTCTCAGTATCTCAGAAATGAAGAAGGAGAAAGAGGAGAAAGATCAGTGTAAGCTGTGGAAACCCACGCTACAAATTGTATGGAAAGACACAACCCCTTGCCAGTGGCAGATATATTTTAAAGAACTTGGAGAATCAAATAGAAAAAAGAAATAAATGGTATTGAATCAAGCCACAGATTGAAGTGGTTTGAAAGTCCAAGCCAAAGCAGAAAGAGCAGAGTATTAAGGCTGTCAGTCAGACAAGCTCTTCTGGCTAGACAGATGAGGAGAGGAACATGGTATGCCAGGAATTAGAGGACAGCAACAGTCTGGCTGACTTGTTGGAGACAAACTGAGGTACTGAGGTCATTGATGGGATTTTTTTAAGCTACAAACAAGAATTGAAAACAGATGAGAAGCTGACAGAATAAAACCAAGCTTTGGCCAGATGGCAGGAGTTGTAAAGAATGATCTAAGGATAAAGGATGAATAAATGGGCAGGTGAAAGGGAGCCTTTACAATCCTAACTGGAGATAGAGTGGGGTAGAAGAATGCAGATGGTCCACCAGAACTTTTCATGAAGGACTTGATCTGTGCTATGTATTTGGGGAACTAGACAGGGGCTTGACTAATGGTTGAGGCTGGTATGAAAATGCAGATACAGCAGCAGTTGATTAGATCTCACACAGAAGTGAGACCAGGTTGAGAGTCATATGAGAAAAACTTGAGTGGGAAGCAGGCCAAGAAAAACTGGTTGAATCAGCAAGATTCAAGCTGGAAGAGACACAAGCTATCAAATGGTGAACCTCTTGCTGAGCAAGGTATTTCTCCATGTTCTCATGCCAGTGGAGGCATTCGATTTAATGGCACGTGGTTGTGGGATGTGCAATGACAGCAGTGCTATGAAGACCAAAGCTTAATCTGTCTTCTAATAGAGGAGTGGAAATAATAGGTCTAGGAATCTCAGTAGTGATGTAATCATGATATAACTGACAGCTCCTTGCAAGGAACATCTATCATCTAAGAAAGGGACCAAGCTACATGTAACTGTGTTTAAATGACTGATGTAGTATGTGAGACATCATTTAGGGCAGGTAGATGAACCAAGTTAGGAAGATAACTGTGGTGGCATGGATACATCTACAAAAACATCTACAAGTTGACAAACATTCTGCAATGGTGTTTGAAAAGACACGGTTTAATGTAAGGGTTGAACATATGAATCATGTCTGGAGATGGGTGTACATTTAGAGTGTGGATATGTAAATAATCAGTGGCAGAATAAATAATAGATGGGTAACACAAGGCTGACAATAAGTAGAAGGAGACGAGACATCACCCAAAGGAAAGAGCCAAGTGCGTATGAGAAGTGGAGCTCACAGCCAATGAGTTCAAGCTGCTGGCCTGGCAGAGCTCCACTGGGCAGTAGCCAATCTCCAGTATAAAGGTT